ACTATAACCTTGGCCAAAACCTTTGAACAGTTGGTGCTATGGCTTTTATACTTTACATCTGTATCCCTTGTGATAAGCCTCCTCCTTGGGTATAAATATGTTTGACCATTTGACCTTGACCTTGGAGTTTGGCCAACTTTTAAACAACTTTAGCCTTGACAATAACTTTTGAATGACTAGTACTAGGGCTTTTATATTACATAGGTAATTTTCTTGTGACAAGGCCTGTCATTGTATACCTATAATTTTGACCATTTTACTTTGACCTTTGAGTATGTCCTACTTTTGAAAAACTTTAATCTTGGTTTTAACTTTTGAACAGTTGGTGCTAAGGCTTTTTTAATACCACATGTGTATTCCTTGTAACAATTAAGACCTTCCCCTAAGTACAAACAATTATGATCCCTTGACCTTGGAGTTTGACCTAGTAAAATAGAATTTGATTGGCCGAGAAAGTCACGTGTCCATCATGTTTGCCCTGCAACAAAACGTCGTGTTTCACGATTGTGACGTCACAATTAAACGAGTGAGGAGTTAGATTGTTTATAGCGACGCTGCTAACTTCGTTCGCGCGGTAACAACAACTAAAAATTCACCCCCAAAAATCACCTTAATTAATGGAATTGCATACAGATAGTAGATTAAACGTTTTTTGTTAAAATGTTTGCACTTTTCAAAATTTGTTTGTGGAAATACAGCTAACATACGTCATGAGACGTCACAGTCTAGACGTTCCAAATGTCTCATGCTGTTTGAAGAGGCGGATCTTAAAATTAAGTGAACAATGCACTCGCCCCAACGGTCGCACCGTCAACATATTATCGTTGATTGATTGTGCCGATTTAAATGTGTAAAAATGTAATGGTGGTGTTTGAATGTTACTGGTGTGATCACACAAACTTGTCACGTAGAATTTTTTTTTTAATGAAACGAGGCTATTGGTGTACCTGTAACTTACATCTCTTTCATATCGTTCTCATCAAATGCACGTTTGCTTTATTCATTGGATCTCCTTTGTAATTCCTGCATTTTGGTTAATTCGGTATTATAAACAATTTATTGCATAATAGTGAGGGAGACATAAAGATTTCTTCGCAAATGAAAAATCATATTTCCCTCGGGCGTTGCCTTCGGAGATTTTTCATGGGCGAAGAAATCTTCATGTTGCCCTCGGGGAATATGATTTTTTATGGGCGAAGAAATCTTCATGTCTCCCTCACTATCATGCAATATATAAATGCAAACTGTGAACTTGTCAAGTCCGAAACACACAAAAGGTATCGCTGATATCATACAGAGTGTATCATTGCCTTGATCAGGCCCATAGGAAGCAAATTCAGTTTTTTTTTTTGTTTTTTTTGGGGGGGGGGGGGGGGCAGAGCCATACATTTCCAGTTGACAGTTGAGGTGGCACTACTACCATAAATTTCCTGACAAGCAAAAAAAGGTCACCAACTACCAAAAATCCTTGACAAGCAAAAAAAGAAAAGAAGGTTATCAGACGTTTTTATTGATGTGGCACAAGCTATAGTATCTATGTCTACTATAGTAATCTATATATCGGCAAAATTATTGGGGGCACGCCCTCCCCCCCCCCCGTGCTCCCCCCTCCCTCGGTTCCTACGGCCATGTTGATTAAATTTAGGGTCACTAAGGAAAGAATGTTTTGACTGGATGAATGGTCTGAAAGAACATGTGTTAACTTGTCGAGTCGGTAACACATAGATGGGGTTTGCTTATAACCAGTGTAGCATGGCTTGATGCAAGGTCATTTGAACGAGTTCAAGGTCATCAACGGAGAAACAACATTCCTTAACTGTCTTTCTACTGGTGAGACATTGCAAGTTGATACCCCTTACAAGATTGCTTATAACCTTAGAATGTGGTATGACCTTGACTCAAGGTCACTTCTTCCTGTTCGCAGCTCCAACGGAAGACCTACTCTTTGCAACGAGCTCTGCTCTAGTTTTATAATATGTTTATGAATTCATGGGTTAAAAAACTTTATGTAAACATTGCTCGTCTAGATGGAATATCCTTTCGACACGAGACTATTTCCTAATAAAAATACCTTCGGTGTGAAAATATTAAATATTACCTTTTGCATTAAAACCGGGAAAAACGTATAATTCACCCTGCAGTTTCATATATACAATGCATATAACAGAGAGAGAAAAATCTACCTTTGAAAATCAGATAATGTGTCTGTCACTAGTTCGATTATTCGAAGTTTATTTTGGTACATTTCTTCTATTTAAGTGCACTAAAGCATAATCAAAAAGATTGTATACAAATATAACTGATGTTTTTGAGATATAATTAAGATAAATATATCTATTATAACGTTGAATCATAACATTGGAGAAGATTATTGGTATATGTTGGAAGTTTCAATACTGATCGATGAGACGTCCTTTTTAGGTCAAGGTACATTTTTATAGAAACATTTGGAACCTCTCTCGAGGTACTTCTACATTACGCATTTTTTCATCAAGAACATTGCAGAGATATACAAATAGATAAATCTCATGTTAATCCGGATATGGAGAACTCTTTTAAATAAATTAGATGCCCAGTGAAGCGCTAAGAAATAGTGCCACGTGATCACGTGCGTAGCTTGATTGTCGACTTTTTACATATACTACAATCGTATGAAGAAAATAATCAAAATATTTCATCTGCAGATCAAGAATAAAAGGAAAACAAATATTAGGTGCATAAGCTCATTACCTGGATAAAGCAATGTCTGGGATGAAAGCTTGATGCAAACAGACCTTCGTGTGCACAACATGCACTTGTGACCTACTTACAAGTAACCTTTAAAATTGTAGTGTGCAATCTGTGTTAATCTTTCTATTTAAATCATACGAAAGGAATGGAGTACATTATGCAATATTGCTTGTAGACTCGAAACAAGTAGTTACAATTATTTATTTTTGCCGCATAACTTACTGATACAGAAACCAATAATTTTCCATGAAATATCCATTTTTCGAAATATGTCTAGTAAAGCGTAGTTTAACTTGATGTATATATCTCAATACATTTCAGAAGTATTTTTCTAAGATACTTTATAAATTATAAAACATATTTTCTCTCTTGAACTACCATGGAGGAGCATGAATATCTCCATTGTGACGACAGATACCGTACTTGACCTCAAAACAATAATGCAAAGTGTATAGTGTTTCAGAAATGATAGTTGGGTGACATAATGTCATCAGATAAATTATGTAAATATCAGATACGAATTGAATTTTTGAAAATTTTCTAAGGTTTAACTACAAAGCTTCACGCCTGCATATTTCTCAGGAAACGCTGAGGCACACCATGAAACAAGCTGAAGTCAAATTTATTTCATAAAATTTAACATGCATAGCTTTCTTACATTAGACACCCAGTGTACTGTTTTCTTGTTTGACTCTAGACTCGCTTTTGTCTTATACGACATGACACAAATATATTTACACTGTATACAGGAAAGTAAAAAGAAAATGAGTCCAAGATTTGGTAGTGTGTAGTTTTAAAATTTGTATCCGTGATCATGAATTCTGCTAAATATGTCAATAAAATCCTTATGCATAAATTGCAATAAATTATCTCAAAAAAATTATCTACGGATTTCCCCGTTTACCTGATAAAGACAAAGGGCACGCGGCAGGTGTGACCGGTCGACAGGGGATGCTCACTCCTCCATGCACCTGATCTCACCAATGTTTTCAGTGGTCCGCGTGTGCTTTCTCACAATTTACATATTTTAATTTGACTTCAATTTTGAGCATGATTACTATTCTTTATAATATTCACATTTCATACTAGAATATAACAGAATATATCAAGTAATATTTTATCTAAGCAAACATGAATAACTTTTAGTGAACATGTAACTTTTAACTAAAACCAATACTTTATGGAAAAAGAATTTAACTTCAACTGCATTTTTCAAATTGGTAATTATTGTTTATTAATTATGTTGAGGACACAGAAAATGATATTTTGTGGAAAAAACACAAGATTATTTTGGTTTTATCATTTTTGTAGAACAAATTATTATGTTTTTTTTTTGTTTTTGTTTTTTTTTTAATTTCTTTATTTTTGTTTGCTTTTGTTGTTCTGTACTGACTCAGTGATCGTGAAGTCTTTGATCAGTATAAAAGAAGAACAAACAAGGAATATATATATATATATATATATATATATATATATATATATATATATATATATATATATATATATATATATATATATATATATATATATATACTCCAAAGTCAAAATCTCCTATATCAACAAATGTTTAGAAACTTTATTTCCCTGCTGTTCTCATAAAAACAAATACTTGCTACCTTAAAGTTAATGACACTATTTTCAAGCAAATACTGTTTCAAAGCAAACCAAGTCCGTGGGAAGGGACGTTTAATGGTGCCCCTTGTCAAAGATAACAACCCCCTTGTGAGAGAACGTTTTTTTTGGTTTTAGAAAGAGTAAGTTCAATGGGGGCCGCCAGGAAAACCCCAAACTTTCTAAAAGAACAAATTATTACCGCAAAACAATGGTTTAGATATTGCTGACTCGGTGTAAAATGACACTAAATTAATCAATCAATCAACCAATTAATCAAACAATCAATCAATCAACGCAAACGTGTATCAGAAGTCCATGTGAAACAGGGATATGTATATCCACCAAGTACCAGAAAAATCTTGGGTTAACTTCATATAAATAATTATGTCCTTTACATAGAACTTCCAATCGAAATTCCAATGCTATAATAATTTTAACTTACTGTACATTCTTATCTATCTTTACAAATAGGTGAAGAGATCTTTCACATATTTTCAATAAATTTATCACAAACCATAGATTCTAGTGATAAAACAAATAAATGAAGAATAGTTCTGGAGAAGTTAAAAATGTAAAAATGAGTCTTGCCGGATTTTTCCCTTTTCTTTGATCAGTTACAAATGCACCAAACTTAAAATTGTATTTTATATATATAAATAAATGTTAGTATACGGTAATTTATCTATAAAACCTCAATAATACAAAACAGTAAATATTAACCTTTCTGAAATATATGCTCTACATCTTCTACAGAATTAAAAAAATATATATATAAGCATTGTAGTGTGCGTACAACATCATCTGCCCTGATTCATTCTAATATAGAAAGTACTACAACCATCATTCGTATACTCGGAAATGATATGATCCTATTTCAGCATTGAACACATGTATATCCTTTTCATCTTTAATTCTGAATGATTTGATCAAAATATTGGTTTGCTATAAGGAATCTGTGATTTTTCTTATATGAATCACACTGTCAATTCCAAGTATCATGTCTGCCGCTTTCTCTGCAATCATTATAGTTGGAGCATTCGTATTTCCTGATGGCACGCTACGCATGACGGAAGCGTCCACTACTCGAAGATTCTTTATTCTTTTGACCCTGTTAAATAAAGTGTTTAAAAAAGTTAAAATACATATTTATAGATATTTACAGAGTAATTTTGACAGCCCATGAAAGTTTATTATATATTTAACTTCCATCCTGTTTTCAAACAACGTCGGCCAATCTTACTGTAATTTTTCTATCTAAACTTTTGTTCCTAGATCTTCTCGCAGATGGCTTGGGCTAGATTAATCATAATGAAACTTCACAGAAATAATATTTATTATTTTTTGTTCCTTCAGTATTTAAGATTTTCAAAATCGTAATCGTTACATCGGAAACCATCAATATGTGAACATTTTCATGTTTTATTTTTTTAATCAATGTCCAATTAGCCTCTTTGAAATTTCAAGGGATTTTTCCTAGCATCATGGCAAAGAAGTTTATGCAAAAAACATATCGATTAAACAATTTTTTTTCACTTCTGACATGTATATAGAAGAGTTTTTTTTTTTGTTTAAAATTTATATTTCTGAAAATATTTCAAACTTCATGATATTGATATGTTAAAGAACCCAAAAATGTGTGGTAGCTTCCAGTCATTGAGAATCCAAAATGGCTGCTGTTACTGTAATAACGAAAATGTTATTTCTGAAAATGTCAAATTCTAAAAATCTAAATACATGTACCACTTGTTTACATTTATATTCAACTGTAATATTGTTGTAAGTCCGGCTTGCAAAGCTCAAAATTTCCATTTCGTATTTTGTCTGCATTAAAATAAATAACAACAAGAGGCCCATCCCCCCCCCCCTTATAAAAAAAAACGATAACGTGAGTGACAATAGTCGAACGCTTCATTTAGAGACAAAGAGTTCCAAAGGATGTAGAGGGTAAATCTGTGAAATCTTTTGAAGAAACGTTATCTTATCATTTTCGTAAGAAAAAAATATTTTAATTTTAATTCCAATGTAAATTTTAAACACCTATTGTGGCCCAACAACCCCCTCCCCACCTCCTCCTTGGGTCATGATTTGTAGAAAACTTGAATCTACACAACCCTAAGGCCCAATCTTACCTCAAGTATCGCGGACTAACTTTAATATTTACGACCTGATGGTGCTGGAATATTGATATGACTATACATATCAAGTCTTCTAGGTACTGATCTGGTGTTTTCGGGGTTTCAGGGGTCCATTTTTTCTCTATTCACATTGTTTTAACATACAGACCAAAAGACTGTGGACAAACAAACTTTGGTTAGTATATGTTATCGCTCAATTAAACCAAAAACTTACATTTATTAATCAAGATGAAAGTGAATTTACCTTAAATATGGATCAACAACGGCAGTAGGGTCATCTGGTGCCCCCATTCTACATGTAGACGTTGGGTGGTATACAATATAGGTATAATACTTGATTCTACAGACCCAGTATTCTTCAGACGGAAAAGGAAGTGTATTGCAGGGAGGTAGATACTCCTCATAAGGATCCGTAGGTGATGCTCCGATAGATTTAAAAGCTGTAGTGTTTGCTACTTTCATATAGATCTTTATTCCTACAAAGAATGAAATACAAGAAATGATTTCTAGAATTATTGCAGTTTTTGATGTCTGTACAATGATTTAGCCACCTTAGGAGTATAATATTGTACTTCCAGGGTACATTATTGTCCTGCCTGAAAATAATAATTGTTTCAATAAATCATAATAATTTTTTTATTATGATTCAATGATCAAATGATACTAACTCATTTATTCTTGTTTATATTTGCTGAAGTCTAGCCTAACGTTATTCTTATCTTAATATTTTAAAAGTATTTTATATAACTGAATGAAATTTTAAGGCAAAAATCAAAATAGGAGAATATGTTAATTTTGTTTTAATTTTTCCCTCGTAATGTTCATTTGCATTATTTAACTTTCCAACGTCACAAACGACTCCTACGTCTATTAAGCACACCAGTTCTGAAAGGCGCTAAATTCATATTAAAGATTAACAAAATAAACAATTATGAAGAGAGAAAAATAGAGAATGTAAATATAAGTATTGAATTCTTATTTTTGGATGTCGTCGGTAACGCGCGGTATTCAATTTGTCGGCACGGCCAGGTGTGTTTTAGAACCGACGACATCCAAACATATTAAGAATTCAATGCTTTTAAAAATATTAGTTTAATGACGTGGGGCGTCATAAATAAGCGATAATGAGATTAAACCTTTTCATCATGGATTTTACCACAAGTTGAAAGAAATCCTGGTAGTTTTAGTTTGTCTCCTTTTTTTGTTATTTACTCTAAGTTTTAATAAGAAGCATTTTCGTAAAAGCTCTACGAGAAGGGAAGGAGAATTTTGCAGCATCTTTTAAACGTTAAAATAATGTGCTTTATTTTACGATGAATTGACACGTGTTTGAAATTATCCTTTTTAGGTCATATGTGATACGATGCGTTCCCGTAGATACATGTATCACCATGAAAGACACTGGTGTTGTATACTGGAAAGAACCATTTGCAAATATAAATGTTAATTATAATATATTTACCTTTTAATAAGGTCCTTATATCGTCTGGATGATCCAAGTAATTGGGATCTATGAGTGGCGGATCAAAGGGATCGCTACTCTGAAGTCTAATAGTTCCTCTACTCTTGGGGTGGAGAAGTTTATTTTCTGCGAAAAATGCCCCAATACCTTTGTTGAGGTTATTTTCAAATTTCTTTCGAATGCCTCCCTTGTTCTCAGAAAAGTAACACAAAATTCTGGCTAAAAAGCTAAGTTTGCAAGTGCTATGTATTGTGTTTTCTTTTCATAATGCAGTTTATGTATACATTTATACTTTGAATGATTGGCAATGGAAAGAATCTTTCCAAAATCATTTATTTTCGAAAATTTAAAACAGTAAAAGTTTTTCTTTTTTCAAAATTAGCTTTCTATTATGACGATTAGTATTCAGACTCTTATACTGTGTGTCTTTCAAAGCGTCTTCGCTTCGGTCAATTTTGATATTTTTCTGGTGAATAACAAACCTTATTCATCACCGAAAGAGTCCATCTCTCACCTTCGGGTCAATGTTGAGAAACTGCACGTACTGGTCTGCGAAAGATGGGTGAACACTGACACTGTAAAACGAAAATTGTGTGGAGGGAAGCCGGTTTTTATTATCTGCCAGGAAAACACTCGCTTCTCCGTGCGGCTTGCTCAGTTGACCTACATTTACGAATAAACAGGATTTATTAGTTTTTACTTATCTATTATTAAAGAAATGTTTTCTTTTCTTTTCTTTTTTTTTTACATTATTTGTCTTCAATTCTTGATTATTCGGAACTTTTCAAATTTCTTTTTCAGATTTTTGTTTCTTATTTCATTAAAAGATATCTGAAATTGTAAACGTAAATACCTGGTATGAATTGCATCTATGAAACCGAGAAACAATTTACATGTTTTATACTTCATAATCGGTGAAGGTGTTGACAAGTCAACATGCAAAAATACAATCAAGAATTTTTTTCAAACCTGATATAAATGTAAGATATTTCAATATAGAAGCTAGTGATGGTGACGTGCTTCCTCCACTGGTTGTGTTATCATTATAAAACATGGCTGTCATAATATGGTCTTGTAAATTTTCTCCGACACGCAGATCAACTACTGGTGGAATCTGTTATGCGACAAAAAGGATTAAGAATTAGAACTTACAGTATCAGAAACATTTATCAGTGTTTTTTTTAAAGATTTATTTAAGTTTTTAATAGATTAAATCTTTTGGAGTTGATATTTATTTTCTTTTTTGTAAGTGTTTGACACGATTAAGTATAAATAGGAAAAGTTTGTTGAAAATTATCCAAAGTAAGAGATCGTATAAGATTATTGTATTTTGCTCGTATGGAATTATGATATGCGTTTTTGAAACCTATATTCATTTCTTCATCTCTGCTGAAAGGTGCTGTTAATATTTTGAGAATTTTGCGCTTTGACTTTGTAACGAATATGTGACGAATATGTTATTTTTTAATAGTCTTTTAATGTTTACACAAGAAAAAATCTTAAATCAAGCAGGTATTTGTTTTTCTTTTATTAACTCAAACCAAGTGGAAAATGGTATTTTTGTTTACCCCTGACTTTGCCAAATGGCGTTTTGGTCCAACACCAGACAACATTAGAAGCTTGAGACTATTGATCCTGCCTGCTGATACAATCACCTCCTTCCCAGCCAGTACCGTGTGATTTAAATTGTCTTTTACAAAGGAAACACCTGTAGCCAATTTGCCTTCTATGAGGATCTACGTAAGAAAAAATAGATAAAAAAACATTGCTATTTTTTTTTATCCGTTATTGTACAAATACTCAATATAAAAACCATAGGCACATAAACCAGCAGACTTATGCTACATATAGAAAATCTGGGATTGTAAATGTTTTATTTAGGAATTGAATTCATTTTTTGAAATGTATGATGTACATGAACTACGTCGCTTCACACCGGCATGTTTCAAGAAGCGCGTTCACTGATTCTTTGAAGTTCATGTACCGCACAAATTTTCAAAAATCAAAGAACAAAATTCACCAACCCCACAATATGGCCCTTAAATTTCAACGTTAATAGACACACGTTCAGAGCTGTATAGGTGTTAGAACCGGTCATGGTCTCATAAATTCATGATATTTTTGCCAAAAGCTAATGATTTTAATGAATTTTCTCATAGTGCACACTTCTTGCCCCAAAATATTCAAGTTAATCTGAAATCTATATATTTCCAATCACTCACAAATACTGAAATATTTTGGGGCGAGGTGTGTGCACTATTTTAATTTTTAAAAAATATAATCACAGGAGTTCGCAATTTTATCAATAAAGTCAATAAAAATCACTCGATTGACCAAGCCATGAGCTATGCGTTAGCATAGCGAACAGGAATGTAACGCGTTTTTGGAGAAATCGACCAATTTGCTTTTACCCACCGCTTATTCAATACAGCTCGTCGGCATTCGTATCAAACAACATTTCTCTACTAAAATTTGCTTTCTAACCCTTCTCGAATGCTGTCAATACCCACTTTCTTCGATTTCGCGTAAACATTCGTTTTACCGAGAAACCATTACATGAGGTCTGTGGTATATGTAATGTAAACAAAAAAAAAACAAACAAACAAACAAACAAACAAACAAACAAACAAACAAACAAAAAAATCAACCACAACATTTGTACATGGATAAAAATTCAAAGTAAACTAATGAACTTTTTTCGATTAACTTTAAAACTTTCCGGTGTTTCAAGAGAGAGAAAAAAAAAGAGTGAGAAGAAGATTTCAGTAATCCTTTTAGATCAAATCAAAAAATGTAAAAATTAATTAACATGTATTCTCTAGGCTACAGCCCTTTTAACTGCAATGGTTTTCAAAATCAAGTTGAGATGCAAGACATTTGATAAAAATATGACCACCGATGCTTTGTGCTTGATATGAATCACTTTCAAGCAAATTAATTTAGTTATACTGATAAAAATAAATAATAACATGTATAGTAAGATATTTGACATATTGGATGAGAATTATACCCTTAAACACACTGAAAAAAAAAAATATTCCTCCTTTTTTTCATGTTTTTTGTCATTGGAAAAAAATGATTATCAATCACTGATCTCAATAGTACAACCCAGAAATTAATTTATTGATACTTTACATGACTTCACATCAACATTTTAGGTTTTTTACCAAAACAATATGTCACAAATTGGTGTTTTTGAAATCTTTCATGTATTGGTTAAATCTACATTATGTCTTTCACACTACAGTCATAAAATCATATTTGATATAAAACCATACTTTTTTCAACTATGTTTGACTAAGAATTTTATTACAAAATTTATTATATCTCTAAAATTCATCTGATTTTCTCACGGCTAGTGCAAAATCAACATAAACGTTACTAAAATTATTTTGAAGTATTTATTTAAATTCTATTCATATATGATGCATGCAACAATTCAACATGAATAGATAATTTTAAATCAATAGTATTTTCATTGCATTTTTAATTCATGTATAACATTTGATTACAGGATGCCTTAGTGTGAGAGAAAAAAATTAAACTGTGTACATTGCATGCTGTTAATAAAGATTGAAACAAGGAAACAGGAAAAAAGTCAACAAGGACATTTGCAAATATTTTCAGCAGAAGTTTCTCATTTCTGCTGCTGACAATTTTATTATCTGCTCAACAAATTCTGACACAAGTTCAGCAAGGAACATTCAAAACAAAAAGACAGCTGCCAGGGAGTGAAGATGACTTTCAAATAAAAGCACCAGTACAACTTACTTCAACTAAAACTCCAAGTCCATCAATTTCCTTACCAATTACATGTACATCAAAAGTGAAGAGGCATGCTTATTGTTTTATTTGTAAGAGACCAGGATCTAAGATAGTTGTTGTACCTTCAGAATGCCGGCTGTCTTGTACATGTACTTAAATTTATCACAATATTTTGAATGCTGAAAGCAGCAGTAGTCCAAATTATTTAAAAAATGGAAACCTTACTCCTGAATACCCTGAATATCTGTAGACAACAGACCATGTATTCCCGAATAAACATTTTGTGTTGGATCTAAAAACTACCAGCTTGATTTTGACAACAAGAATTACATATTCTTAACATGACATTTAAAGGATTCATATGAGACATTGTGTTAGAAACACCTTGACAATTTTCTTATGTGTGAATGTTATATTGGTTGAGGTAATGGCCACTCAAGCATGTTGACTATTATATTCTTTACAATTTTTAATGTATTATATGCTGTATGAGTGTCATGTCAGATGTGGTAATACAAATGTAGGCCATTTCAAATGTAGACTATTACCTGGTATATACCTCTATAATTCTTATGTATAAACTCCTTTTGGGAGTGTTAAGTCGGGTGTGGTAATAGACTGTTCTACATGAAGAATAGTTTTTTATTATTATGCATTACCTCCTGTTTGAGTATTAAGTCGGGTGTTTTAATAGGACTCTCCACATGTAGAATATTTCTTTCTAATTCTGATTATCATGCAAAATTAAATATGTTTGATTGTTATGTCAATGTTGTATGCTACTCTATGCATGTAGTCAGTATGAGGTCATGATAATATTTCTCTAAACATGGAATACATTTCATTGATTGTAATAAATAAAAAAAATTACAATCAAAATTACAAATAAAAAAATTGATTGTAATAAATAAAAAAAAAAATCATATTGAACATTTCTAGATTTGAGTAATTTTATAAAAAAAAAAAAAAAATAAAAATTAGATATATCCATTCCTGAATTAAAAAAGAAAAGGACATACAGGAGAGAGAGAGAGAGAGAGAGAGAGAGAGAGAGGAGTATATGTGTGATATGTGTGAGAAAGAGAGTATTCCATCATTTTTCATTGTGTATCACTAGCTTGACCCTCCTTCCCCCCCCCCCCCCCCCCGAAGTAATTCTGTGCTGAAAGCGACTGGTTAATGACCCATGCAGCCATGCACTGATTTAATAATACTGCTCACCATGCTGTTGCATTGCATGTTAGCTAGCACATAGCAGAAGATGACCAAAAATCAAAGGGTACATATATTTCTAAAGCAAGCAAGAGTGCCTATTAGAAGAAGGTAATGTTTTAGATACACTGTGGGATTAATGTTTTTAATGAATTATGCATATGCAGATTACATTTATACATTTAGAAGCAAAAAATTTGCACATGATAAACAATTTTATTATCAATCATTATCATTCATGAAGCAGTAGAAATTTCTATTTGAATTCGAACTTCATTGGCTAATAAACTTTGTTAAGGAGCATAAAAAAGGATGAATTGGTAAAGACAATATAGCAAAAGGTTGATGAAGAAAGAGCTTATACTTTAATCTTTATTATTAATATTTATATTTAATTAATAAAATACCACTTTATATTGGGAAATAAATGCTAGTAATTTTTACCCTCCAATATCTACCGATTGTGGTAGGGTGCACCCTTATGATCGGGATCTGAGGTACAGTGTACCAAGTTTGATTCTTGTTCCTGACGCCGCGTCAAAAGTAAGTAAACATAGACAGTGACTGTTCCTTCACCAAGCACCCAGCATTAGAAGTGAAAGTCACGGATCAATCGGATGAGACCTTAAAATTTGAGGTCCTGTTTCATGGTAGGCGTTCGTGATAAAGAACCCTCACAGCTCAATGACCATGAGTGCTGAGTGAAGGTCTAAATTTGAGGACCTTCACTGGTATATGGTGACGTCTCTATATGAGAGTGAAAAAATACTCGTAAGGGACAGAAAACAACAATCAATTAATCCTATATAATGTATTAGGAAGTAATACGTTCTTTATCACGTATTAATCTGTATAGGGTCATGGCGGCGTCATATTTCGTATAAAAAAAATTAATTCACTAAAATCATTTTGTGAATAACTAAAAAAAAAAAAAAAAATTAAGATATCAAAGCAAAGACTATTTTTTTTTTCATTCCTGGAAAACAAAATTTATGATAAATGTTCCTTAATTTTTCAAGTAGGGCCCACTTTGGTGGGTTCTTTTCTATGACGGAATACATTATGTTCTTATAAATAACGTTGACGTCATAAAATTACAGTATATAAAACGTCAACGTCATGACGTTATGGGTTTTTATTGAAAAACAATACCAGATTTACACACCTGTAAAAAGAAAACGGGACAAGATATCGTACAAAAATAAATTGTTTTATAATCTACAAATTCTTACATATTATCTGAGAAAGTTTCATCCATTTTCGTGACAGGGCAGATTTTGATACTTCGTGGCTCTTGTATAAAACTCAGTTTTAAAGAAACTATTTAAGATTTTTTCAGCAAACGCCATACACTAATAAAAATTATCATGTTGCATTTACTTCTGGACCCTTGGAGGGCATTCATGCCCTATGGAGAGATTTCTTGTTTTATCTTCAGTTAGTATGCTATAACACAGTTTTCATGACTCTCCTGTTTCCAATTAAAAAAAAAGACAAATACCTCTTTTGAACTACTGAAAACCTTTTCAGTATTATTTTTTTTACTTATCACAAATTTAATAAGACAATGTCGATCACATTATCCAAATGAGAAAGAAAATCATTTTGATCTCAAGTGCGTAGGATACCTTGATATATCTTAAATCTGATCAATTGAACTACTAGTATTTCTAAATGCCAGAATTTTTTTTCCCAGAACCAATTGTTTATTCATCTTCATTACCAGCAACCAGAAGAAGGACTATCCCCCTTACATTAATTGTCTCTATGATGAGGAGTGGGTCTACCTTTACGGATGATGTGTTCCGATCGCATCCCAGTTCTCTTTATTTGTTTGAACCAGTGCAGTATCTATCACAGAGTGTTGGAAAGACTGAAATCGTTTATGTGAATGGCACTGCAAAGTAAATGGAAAAATATCTGAAATCTTTGAAAAATAATACTTACATATATTTAAAATATATTTTGTAGTTGTTATGATGCTTTTGATCTTAATAATATCACCAATAGGAAATCTATGCAGGGAATAAGCACACATTTTTTTTTTCATGAAAATTCTCATGAAATTTTAAATTTGCTTTCAAAAGAATTTTGAAAGGCATTTTTTTTATCATATTTAAATGCCATTACATATTCACGTAGCCTTATTCTTCAAATTTAACATAAAAGGTCCTATAATGAAAACCAGCTGCATGAGATCCATGCTGAAATGATCATCAATCTTCTCCTGTGCCGTTTTCAAGATGTTCCTTTCCATGTCTTTAAAAGTAGCCATTTCCTTTACCATAACCATCTCAACCACCATTACAGCTGCTCTCAACGTATAAAAGATAGTGTTACTGGCATGAGGCAACGATGTATCCCAGATCTCATGCATCAAAAAGTGTAAAGGAACAAATTCATTCACTATAAAGTTGATAACAGTTAGAATGGAAGCCATTTCAAGGGTAATGAAACTTCTTCCAGAAGTTTATGTTATTCATTTGGTAAGAGGTCATAGACCAGTCTTGCTTTCACAAATAAACGTCGGGCAAATTGATTAAACAAAGATTGAAAATGAAAGTAGCTCACATTGCACGATTCTTCAGAATGATCTAGCAGAGATCGAGGAAGACATATATCGAAACAATTTTCACCGACAGAGGTATGAGGATCTTGCTCATGATCCACTTGGACAGTTTCAGGGTTTGTTTGAATTATCTGGATTGAAATTTATTCAAGCAGTACAGAACAGGGTTAGAAGTATAGCAATGAAGACAGGAATGTTAAACAAATGCCAGTATTGTTCAGAAAAAGGTGATGCAATGGCGACTTCTCTACAATGGAGGGTTTCATCAAACTATTCCATTGTTCATGCAATCCAAGAGCAGTGTTTAAATATTATTGATAAGCTGGGATACGTCTCGGTAAATTCCACAAAGGATCTAAAGGATACGAAGATTTCACAAACAAAATGGTAGAAAATTTGTTCGAACAGTAACGAGAGAGAGAGAGAGAGAGAGAGAGAGAGAGAGAGAAGGGAACTGCAATGGGTACTGCAATAAGTTGAATTAGTGGTCTTTTACATACTGAGGCCTTTCATATGCTTTTGCTCAATATTGGGTTTCATAAATTTATATATATTTGTAGAAGTTCTAGCATTGTAGGTTTTTTTGTATTTAATTCAAACCTTTTGTAGGAAAATAAGAACGTATAAACTTATGACTTTTTTCTCTTTGATTTTATCGTAATATTGAATTTCATTAATTTGACAATTTATTGACAAGTAACAAAAAGCAATATTCAAACCTTTCAAGGGAAATTACAAGAGTGGAAGGCTGCTTTCGACAAACACATGCTCTGAAGAGTATACAGAGACATATAACAATCTGTGCATCGAGCAAAATGGTCTCTGAGAGCCAATTTTAGCAAAAAGTAAATGTAGAAAAAAAAATAAAGAGAAACATCTGGAAAATATTAGCATTTTTTATTTCACTGTAAAAACATTTAATGGTAGTCACATATCAAATATTGGTTAATAATTGTTAGAACTGAAAGCTTTGAAGACTCAATATCACTACCTTTAATTAGCAAACAATACGCATGTGATAATCAAATTGTATAAGCATAGAAATTAATGAATTATCAAGAGCAATTTTCTGTAAGGGCTTAAACTGTTCAAGCATGGTTAAAGATTGAGGAAACTTTGCTCAGTATTATAACTTGCCACCAGAAACATTAATTAATTGTTTAGTGATTGCTATGTGTCTTGGCCTCCATGATAATATACGATTGTATCTTATTAAGTCTTACAAAGACTAAAAAAAAAAGCAAATTTAAGTCTTACACAAAACGTTATGCCCTGTTGCTAAATTATGTAAACAACTGTTTTGAAATATATCTCTAATCATACCATATCTAGTAACCATGGCTATTGGGCATATTTTTAATATGCTAAGAACGCTCTGTATTCACTTTAACCAAACTGTACATGTTATTAATGGAACTATAAATACATGTATGTTCAAAGATACTATTATTCAAATTTTACGATATGTTGCCATGGTAACTACGATACATAGCAACCAATATTTATCTTATATTAGTTTAAGGTATAAAAATACTTTATTAAAGAAGGATTGAAGAAAAACATGAAAAAAAAAAAATGGAGAATCCTCTGCCAGTTCCTTGTGTTTATACATTCTTCATACTGTACTTCAGATCTTTGTAAATCATAACTAAGTTTCATTTCTCGTTTCAAATATTTCATTTAATAAGGATTTTAATGACAAAACAGTCATGCACATCCATGAGTCCTGTAACAATGCCCATCTCGTAGGTATAATGATAAGGTTTTGATGAATTTAACATTTCTGACCTAAGAAAATAAAATGGATTGTGGTGTCCATGCGGTGGAAAAATTATACACTACTTTGTACTAAAATTTACATGCTTCTAATCATACCTAAGTCGCTTTTGCATTGAACAGTATATTACAGTCAGCGATGTTCATGACGTGATATGCGTTGAAACTGACGCTCAAATGTTCATGTGATCAAAACAAGCCAATGCATAATTGTCCTTTCCTGAGCCCCTCAGAACTACTTTACATATATTTTGTGTAATACAAAGAAAATAATGTCGCTGAAAATATCCTTTATACATGTAAGGTAAGAGCTATAAATTCTGTCTGATATGCATAATAATATAAGTGTAACAAACAATCTGTCATAAAACGGGCACAAACAATCCACGGCTTTATAATACAGAACAATAATATGTACACATCAGTTTTACACTACACACTTCCAAAACATTTCATGATATAAAACATTCTAATTTACAATTCTACAATAAAGTAACATTCAAGTAACAATTATGAATATTTAATGACATGGACAGTGTTATTTTTGATCTTATCAATTGTAAAACGATAATGTTTATGTCAAGTGACTGTTTCCTTCGTAAGAAAGATGGCAGGCGCCTTATGAACAACACATGATAAAATGCCAAAATAAGTAAGTAAATTGCAGTGTTATATGGCAGATAATAATGAAAATCTGACATAAAACATCTAAGTATCACTGTCCCTCACTGTTTGTTCAACATTATCTCACAAGACAGTCTAGCTATACAATAACAACAGTTGTTTCCATGACAACATCAAAATGCAATGTTTATCGCATCAATAATTTAAATAATCAAAAAGGTAGTTAGAAAGACATAAACAATAAATAATTTCTAATAAAATTTAAAACTGGATGCTACTTTACATGCAACTGTAATTAAATCCACACTCCTGTGAAAAATATTCTAAAGTCCCCTCCCCCCCCCCCCCCGCCCATACATATTACATGGTAAAAATTCACTATAACAATAAGCTGAAATCCACGCCCTCCCCTCTACATTACATAGTAAAGTACTAAGTCCTATAATATTACAGTACAGAAAGCTTTTAGAAAAAGATCTTTATGTCTGAAAGGTATTGATAGACAAGCAATTCATTTGAAAATCAAAGTATACTAAGATTTATTCAGTATAATAATCTTGGATTACCAATTAAAATACATGTATGTGCATAGCTTTATCAACACATCTGGTCTACATATATAGTATAAATAATAAAAGCAATAAATTTTCCCTATTATTGGTAAAGAATACCACAGACTACATTATTTTCATTCAAGTCCTTCTTTTTATTTATAACTTTTTTTCCAGTGTTCTTCAGTGTTCTAATAACGAAACTAATATTGATGAAAATATTGTTTGATGTCCCTTGGTTACCCACATATTATCACAGTTATCACGATCATATTAAGTTTTTAAATATTCACTGAAGAAATCCTTAATTTCGAAATGAAAGAGAGAATGCTTTATGAGTCTTGTATTTTTTTAATATTGCATGATTTTAAAATCGACCTACTCTAAATTATCTGTGAAATCAATGCTTCTTTTTTAAATGTCTAATTTGCAGTTCATAAAACTTTTAAATTCTATTGCACATTATACTTAAAGCAGAATACAAAATAACTTGCTTGGAACTAAATCAGAAGAACATGTATGTTAAGTTTGGTTGTAGTGCTCATCAGATGTATGTACGCCTTAATTGTAATGCTCATAGAAGAAAAGGTAAAATTCTGTAAAAATGTGTATTTTTACGAGGTAAAATTTTTATGCAACAAATCTTTCGAGAGGGTTTTTTTTTTGCGGAAATAAAGAATTCACAAAACGATATTATTCAAAGTAAAGTTCTATTTCTCATTTCAAAACTATTCGAATAGTACAAAGAACAAGGTACGGCTTCGATATAAATCTAGCCCTGTACTTTTCAAAATATGAGATTGTTGTGAGAAATTAAACTTTATGCTATCTGAAAAGTTTAAATTCCTTGCAGTAAGATCATACAAATCGTTTTCCCATAAAACCTCCTAGATGCCAATAATGAACATCTGCATTTTCTTTAAAAAATGTGAACATTGGTCCCCAATGAACAATGATGATTGCACAGTATACTAATGAGAGCTGTTCAAATACATCAATTTTTTTTTTACCTTGTCCCTTTCTCTACCTTTACATCACTTTTCTTAAATTTGTGTATAGCTAGGTTTCAAAGAAACTGTTCAAGATATTTTAATCAAACTTCATATGCTGATACATATAGATGAATGCTATTAAATTCCATCAACATGTTTTGACAATGGCTTTCCTTTGACCATGACCTTACTTTTCTTAAATTTCTGTTAAGCTCAATTTCAAAGACACTTGAGATATTTTTTATCCAAACTTATATGCTTAAACATATTAATGAGATGTGTTCAACTTCGATTTTTTTTTACGTTGTCCTTTTCTTTGACTTTGACCTCACGTTTCTTAAATTTGTGTTTAGCTCAGTTTCAACGAAACTGCTATGGATATTGGTATCAAATTTCATCTGCTGATACAAATTGTTGAGAAATATTCAATTGCAACCAACATTTTTTGACCTTAACATTTCCCCTAACCTTGACTTTACTTTTCTTAATTAAGTGATAATCTCAATTTTGATGACATTTAAGATATTTTTATCAAACCTTATATGCCTAACCATATTAATGAGAGCCTTTCAACTGCATCGATTTTTAACTTGAGATTTTCTTTGACTTTGACCTTACATTTCATAAATTTGTGTTAGGTAAGTTTCAAACAAACAAATCAGGGTATCTTTATCAAACTTCATATGTTAAGACATACAGATAAGAGCTATTCAATTGCATCAACACTTTTTGATCTTGACTTTTCGTTTGACCTTGGTCTGACTTTCCTCGAATTTGAGTTTCAAAGAAAATATGCTTGATGTTTTTTATGTAAACGTAAGCAATGATACATTATTTGGTGAGTTTTCCTCTCTCATGAACTTGAAGCGTGACAAACCACACACAATGTAGTAAAGGGAACAAGGTGGATATACTTGTTTTGTAATTCCAACACAAATTGCTGTATCCGGTAATTTAGAGAATTGCTGATCACCTCGGTCAAAAGTGAACATTTTTCCATGCGACACGCCACTCCTTGAACGTTTAAATTGCTCATTTGGTATTTTTACGAGTGTTAGGATTTTTTTAAGAGTCTGTCACTCAACTCAGGCTCCATCATGTCTAAAATATCTCTTATATCGAAGCCCTTAATATGTTCAATTTTTAGTTCCGGTAGATCAAACGTCATACTTCCCAAAGAATCTTCAACCTGTATTTGGTTTCCTAACTTACCCAAGGAATTTTCCATCATAATTTCGATTGCCACCGTGTCTTAGAATTGCGATAGCATAAAATCACAACCGTCATCCATGGCATTAAGACTTGAATTGACAAGGTAAAAAGCTCAAGAAATACAGCGCGCTATCCTTTTCAAATTACGTGCTTTATTTTCATTGGTCATATAAAATGGTATGGTGAAATTTTGATAGATCATGGCTAACTCAGTGCATGGGAACATAGTTGCTATA